ATATTTAATTTAAAAAAAAGTATTCCTCGTTTTCATGAATGACGAATTTCTCTTCAACGTTCTTGTAATGTCTCATCCACTCTTTTCCGATCTTTTCTTTCCTTTCCTCTTTTTCGCGAACTCTCTCACCCACAAAATCTCTCAATTCTCTTTCCAATTCTCTTCATCTATTATCATTATTTCTTTATCGCAACTAAAACTAAAGGTTGGATTCCAATAAATATCTAAAATCTCTCAGGTCACAATTTGCTTTCATTTTGACTCCCTATGTCTTATTAATTTATCTATCTATCTACTTTATTAATCACCAATCTGTCCCCCTCTCTTATGATCACTTAACTTTCTCCTCTCCCTACGAGTCAAACAAAAACTCTTAATCTCTTGCGAAATCTCTGTCAATAACCTCATCTCTCTGTCATTTTATTCAGATATGTCATAATGCTTTTATACATCGATACAAAACGTAATTTTGATGAAATAGATTTATCTTGGTTAAAATAAAGGCGATATTGGTGTAGATCAAAACTACAAGATATAATAATGCAATCATGTTAACAAACATACCTACTCGCATCAAAGTACCCGGTAGGATGCGAAAGCTAATGTGGTTAGATTAGCAAGTGTGCGCTTATACAAAAAGACGCCTGGCTGGAATGCTCCCCAGGGAGTGGAGAATGTGCATACATTGTGTGCGGGTAAGCCTGAATCCTAAGACCGGGGTAATAATATATATATCTGTAAAGCGCTTTGAGAGGGCCTTCGGTCCTGAAAAGCGCTATATAAGAACTAGCTATTATTATTATTATTATAGTATCATGTTTACAATACAAATGTAATGTTTTTGAAATATATTCAAGAGATTGAAGTAACAAGTCATTCAAACTCCAATATCTACTCCAATATCTAATGTGGAATATTGTTCACTCCTCGTACCTCCATATTGTGAAATATTAAAACAAAAGACCAAACATGGTGCATATAACAAAAGCCCCAAACTGAATGTATCTATTCATTAAGAATCATAAATAAAGGTTACTTTTAGTTTTAGAAGGGACCATGAAAATAAAAATATTAACAATGCGACCATAAATACAAACATACCCACAGACATCTACATACAGTCAATTCGACACTGATGTCGACATTGATGTGTACAAGATACAGAAAACAATTTACCAAAATTCCGATTCCTTTTGACATATCCTCTTAAAATTAATATTTTAGATCGGAAATGATCAAAACATAATCCAATAAAAAGAAAGCAATGATTTACATTATTCATAGCAACAATTCTCTGGAATCCATTTATTTTTAAAATTGTAATTATTCGTTTGATTTAAACAGGGTAACTCTCTCAGTATTAAATACAGATTGTTTTCCTGAGAGGCCCTGTACAATTACAGGTTACAAATACCGAGGAAATTGAACAAATTTAAATACATATGTATTACGAGATATTTATTGTATTTTTGCCTACTAATCTACAGGATTCCCAACAAAAGTGTATGAGAGAGGTATAAACTAAGCATATAATGCAAAGTTTCTCAGCACGACACGGGAATTTCCCTTTTGTTGATAACGTGACGTACTATACGCAAAGTCGTTTATCAAGAAAGTATATTCAAATTTATGGATGCTTCCTGCCAACGTGGGTGTGTGTGTTACCTGTTATCATATTTTGTACTATTATAGACCAATATCGTTTAATCGAATTTCATGCACACATCATTGTAAAGTGCCTCGTTACAAACTATTTCATTCACCTGTTACGAATAATTGTATTTGAATAGTCAGCATGCGAATTGCAACATTAATTGTTGTTTGGTAAGACACATATTATGCATGGCTCATCGATAAACCTCCTACAAGCACACACCCCCAAAATAGTTATCGGCCCATGCCTATCCTATTATTTTTTTCTCTCTTCACTTGGGGAGGAGGAGGTGCACGTTTTTCCGGTGCCCCCTGAATCCACCACTGGCCTTCCTGATCGATTTAAATTACCAAATGTGAGATAAAATAAACCCATTTTGTTGAAAGGCTTTACTCTTACTCCTATTTAAGGTATGGCGACCTTGTAAATATGTAATTTCCAGAGCAATAAGCCAGTTGGTAGATAAGATATGCGCATTGGCAGATTAATATAATTTCTACCAGCATTATAAAACCCATTTTAGAAATGTATGTAGTAATCATTCGTTCATGCACTGACATGAAATTCTATGGAACACTGGTGGAATTATTCTTTTCAACACAGCAATCAAAATGTATTCATGAAGTAAATATATTACTTTTGCGGTGATAATTCTAAATTGCACGAAATGGGACTACTTCATTGGTAAAAGATCTGAGGATATTTGGGATCATTATTATTGATATATGGAAACTACGAACTGGTCTATTTTGCGGAAATTGTTTTTCTTTAAAAAAAAGTTTCCTCAAAGAAATTCAGAACACAGGCATCTTGAATTTTTCTGATTAAGAATTAATTCTAACATATATTAATATCATAATCTGTAGGGGTTTCGAATTTCCTCCGAAAAAAAGTATAGAAAATAAATGCAAGAACCCCAAGCCTCCACCACATTACACCCTCCTCAAATTTTAATGTAGAATGTAGTTAACATTAATGGTATAGTTAAGTCCGACTATTTAGCCCACCCGATAAGCCTGATGCCCCCCTCTTCCCTACCAGTCGCCTCTCTACCCTGGTCCCTGGGCCTTCATAGCTTGGCCTACTTCCTACCAGTACACAGTGAAGTGCAGCCAATAAACGGTGTAGAGCTGTCTGGATCACTGCTTATATTGAAAAGACGATCATCAGTTGTAACTGCATTTCTTCCACGTTTAAGCTCAACACAGACGTTGGCATCGTCACAGTTTAAAGATGGATCAACGAATGTATACACGACGTCCCGAAAGATGAATTGATTTCCTTTGATGTACCACTGCGATGCTTGATCAACATTGAGAACTTGCTCGGTGAAACCTATCCTGGTGTGACTGAGAGTGACCAAAGTGAATGCAAAATGAACAGTTAATATACAGACTTGTATTACTTCGTATATAAGCTGGTTGCATGCATACACTGGCTTGATTTCCGCGAGGATCACAGCAATGATGATAAGCGACAACAATGACCTTTATCCCCGAGTTTCTCTCCTTATGATTTTGCAACTTATGTCACAATTTTGCTATAATATAATTTTAACATCATTTTCATTTCAAGACCAATGTAACATACACACAGGGCGGCCGAGCGACTTCCAAAGTGTGGGGGGGGGCACCAAGAAAAAAAGGGCACTTCCTAGAATTCGTTTCACTTTATACACCCTACAAGCATCATGCTTTGCAGTTTGATTTGATTGTCTAAAAAAAACAATGTTTGCGAGCGAGAGAGGAAAACAATTAAGATGTGTGAGGTTGCAGTGCGAAAAAATACATTTTATAAACAGGAAAAAAAAAAATCCTAATGGGGTTATAAGTACATTCTCATATCGGTAGGCTGAAAAGACCTTTGATATGTTACATAATTATATCATCTATAGATGCGTGCGAGCGTAGCGAGCGAGCTTTGAGGGAAATTGCTCTTAATTGCTTGAAATTAGCTAGGGCGCGTTTAATGATGAAAGGAAAAGGGGACACTTATCAGGAAAAAAGAGGAGCATGTGTCAAAGTACAAAGAGTAACTATCAGAGGTGAAAATGGGGCACTTTTTACACCCTCAAAAAGAGACACTCACCAGGAATGAAAAAAGTAAATCATGAGAATAGGAAATGGGCATTTGTCGACGGAAAAGGGGCCCCATCAGATTTTGATAGGGGCATTTATAAGATATTATCATATATTGTTAAAAGGGAAATTATCAGAGGTGAAAAGAGGCACTTATCGCATCTGAAAAAAGACAATGACCAGATATGAAAAGGGCACTTATGTGAATGAAAAAGGGGCACTTGTAATAAAAGAAAATATGCATTAGTTAAAAGAAAATGGGCACCGATCAGATTTGAACGGGGCATTTATCGGAGTTTAAGGGGGCACATAACAGAAGTGAAAAAAAGTTACTTCTCGTACCCGAAAAGGATCATTTACCAGAGAAGGGGCACTTATGAGAAGGGGAAGGGGCTCTTTTTAATAGGAAACTTATCATTAGAAAACGGGGCACTTATTAGAAAGGAAAAAGGACACTTGTGAAAATATAAGGTGCGCTTATCCGAGTTAAAATGGGGTTAGTTATTAAAAGGGGACGGGTCACTCCTTACAAAGGAAAAGGGGCACCTGTCAAAGTAAATGAGGCACGTACCTCTCAGATTTAAATAGGTCAATTATCAGAGGTGAAGGGGGCACTTATCAGAAGTGAAAAAAGGTACTTCTCATACCTAACTAGGGGCACTTACTAGATATTAAAAAGGGCACTAATGAGAATGCAAAATAAACACTGATCACAAAGGGAAATGTGAACTTGTCGAAGGAAAAAGGGCACGTGTCCAAATAAAAGGGGCACTGATCAGAGTTGAAAAGGGGAAGGGGCACTTTTACAAATTAATAGGTGCACTTGTCAAAGTAAAAGGGGCACTATTCCTATGTAAAAAGTGGCACTTCTTAAAAAGTTAAAGAGGCACTTTTCCTATATATGTAAAAAGGGGCATTTTTGGGGTGATTGAAAAAGTGGGGGGGGGGGGGCGCCGTGCCCTCTGCCAACTCCCGAGAGGGCCGCCTCTGCATACACTCAATATACACGTATGAATTGAAGCATAAAGAAGATACTATTGTAAACAGCCAATACCAAGTATATAACAGAAATAAAAGAAACGTAATTTTTTGGCGCATGTTTTATGACTCTTCGTCTGTTTCTGTGAGGATGTCGCAAGCACCTACCTTTTATTTTTTTTCTTATGAGCAATCCAGGCAGACAACTCCCAGAGAGATTCGCCTTGCACTGTCGTACTTCTTGCATCTCTAAATTTGACTTCTACTGCAAGAACTATTGTTGCGTCACCGTCGGATGTCACACTACGTTGACTTTGAATGGTAGGGTTGACATTACGCACTGTCACGTCTGGTATGAATCAGGATTTAAGAAATAGATTTCATGACTTGTTTATAATGATCATGATACGAAAAAATAAGGGTAAAGGGGGGGGGGGGTGTGAGGGTGAATAAATGTAGGATGCTAAAACATTTGAGTTTGGCATGTCTGATATGAGTCACATTATTCAGTTTAATATCCCTGTTGTAAAAGAGGCGTCAATAGTGACGTAATACTGTGTCAGCACGCAATTTGCGCGGTGATTGGCGGAGCAATGTGACAGTGACATTATAATAAAGTGCGCCCATGACATTTATATGAATGTCCTTTGGCTAATTGCTTTCATCAGTTTGATTAACATCAGTAATAACGCAGTCGAAATGACGACACTAGAGCAACGGGAAAATTAGACATTTGGAAAAACACACAACACATACTTAGCACTTTGGCCAAAAAAAAGAAGGAGATGTACACATAAAAAAAGAGACGCCAATGAAAAGAAGAAAAGATAGCAGAAAATAAGCAGATATAAAGATAGAAGAACAGGAGTAAAGATGTTAGACAAGAGCGCCAGAAAAATAACGAATTTTTCGTGCTCCTCCCTCTCCCGATCAACTTGAAAACCCCAAATTTGAAACAAGTAATAGTTGAAGAATCCCGAAATCAGGCAAAATTTAGCAGTTTTAAGTGAATTTAATACTGCTTCCGGGGTTATTTAGCCCACCCAATGATGAACAATAATTCTTGTGTCCCCCCCCCCTCGTTCCCTGTTAGTCGCCTCTTCAACTTGGGCCCCCGTAGCTTGGCCTACTTCTTACCAGTACATAGTGAAGTGCAGCCAATCAACGATGTAGACCTTTTGGGGAAACTGCTAACATGGAAAGGACGATCATCGGTTGCTACTGCATTTTTTCCACGTTTAAGCTCAACACAGACGTTGGCCTCGTCGCAGTTTAAAGGCAGAGCACTGGAGGGATACACGACGTCCCGAAAGATGAATTGATCTCCTTTGATGTACCACTGCGATGCTTGATCAACATTGAGAACTTGCTCGTTGAAATCCAGCCTCGTGTTACTGAGAGAGAACAAAGTGAATGCAGAACGAATAATTTACATACTGACTGTATTACTGGTATATGAGCTGGTTGCATGCACCCACACGCTTAATTTCAGCGAGGATCACAATGATTAAGCTCGCATTTCCCATCCCAGGCTCAGGTGACACGAAACCATAAACAGTTGTACAATGATTTTTAAGATATTAAGTAATTACACTCCGTCTTATATGTCAAATAAAATCGAATATCGCACGTATAATTATTAATTTCGCTCATCCCGAAATCTAGATCTCCCTAAACCAAAATAATTGCAAAAGAACATTCTTCTATAGGGGGCGACACAATATAACCAACTACCAGAACACATCCGAAATGTAACTTCATTGAGATCCTTCCATACCCTAATAACTGATTACACACTTCCTTAAACTCAAATGATTTTGCATAACTGCGTGTGTGTGTGTGTGTGTGTGTGTGTGGTGTACGCATTTGATATTTTTTTGAATATTTTGTTACCTTGGTATTTAAAAAACTTGTATTTATGTTTTGTTTCTATTCTGCTTTATGTCCTGTTCTACTGTTCCTCAGCACTACATCCTGACCTATGGATCCTGCTGAGTATCGTCGTAGAAGTAGAAGTATAAGCACTGCTGAATTGGGCTATCCACCGATTTTGTCTATGTACATGTATAAATATTTTACTTTGTATATTTTACTATGTGTAATATTTTTATCTGAATTCGGAAATAAAAACAACAACAACAACAGTTAATAAATAATCAAATAAATGAATGACTAATATTCAAATGAATAGAGAGATAAATAATAAAAAGATGGATTCACTAATGATTTAATTAATAAAGTTTTTAATAAATTAAATAAAATAACTAAACAAATACACTTCTCCAGCAAATGCAATGGTGATAAAGCGACAATAACGACCTTCATCCCCGAGTTTGTGTCCTTATAACTCGATTCAATTCAGGTTTTGTTAATAAATAAATAAATAAAGTATCTTACAAAGTGATTGCAGACAAGATTCCATGTTCACAAAATATAATAGATAACATAATTAAATCAACGTATAAATTAAACATCAAATTCATGAATAAAGAGTTCATGAGCCTATAATACAGATTTTAGAATTAGACTTATGTATTGGATTAGGGAATACTATATAATAATAATAATAGTTAACATTTGTAATGCGCCATTTCTGTCAAAACAGACACGCCTGACGGATTTATGAGGAAATTGTAGATTGTGGGCGTATGCCTATCAAGTAATTCACGAAGGAAAGTAAAATGCCCATAGGTTTCAGATTAACATACTTCAGGACATAATTTTGCAATAATGATTATAATCAAAACGTACTTTTTAACATGAAAGCAAGGTTACCAAAGTATTTACAGTAATAAAAGACACCTTTCTTTTGGCTCAGGTTTTAAGACTCTTGTTCTGTTTCTTTAAGGATGTCGCAAGCACATACCTGTGAGTAGTGTTTACAGGAGCAATCCAGGCAGACAACTCCCAGAGAGATTCGCCGCTCACTCCTGTCTTCTTTCTGGTATCTCTAAATTTAATTTCTACCTCAAGAACTAGTGTTACGTCACCGTTTGTCGTCACATTGCCTTTACTCCGTATGGCGGGTTTGACTTTACGCACGGTCACGTCTAGAATAAATCAGGATTTAAGAGATGGATTTGATGACTAGTTTATAAGTATCATGATACGAAAAAAGAGTGGGGGGGGGGGGAATGAAAATACGTTGAAACATTTAAATTTAGCATGTCTGATATGAATGAGTCACTGTATTCATTTTTATATGCATGTTGCACAAGAGGCGCCATTAGTGACGTAATACTGCAGCAGAGCGCAATTTGCGCCTCTTTGGTGTAGGAATGTGAGAGTGACAAAATAAACATTGCGCCCATGGTATTTGATAAATAGTCTTTGGCTAATTGCTTTCACCAGTTTGATTAACCTCAGTAATAACGCAGATGAAATGACGACACGTGTGCGACGTGAAAGAAAGACGTTTGGAAAACACACAGCATAATTACGCATCACTCCGGGAATTGAAGATGACGTGACCTTGAAAAAGAGAGGCCAACGAATAGATGAGAACACAGCAGAAAAACAAGCAGATCTAGAGAAGATCACAAAGTGACAGGGATATTTTTGTATCACCATCCCCCCCCCCCTCGATCAACTTAGAAACCCCAAATTTGCAACAGTTGAAGAGTCCCTGGATCCCGGCCCCCCCCCCCCCCCCCCCCCCCCACTCAGAGGTCGGAATGACCGCATGCGTGTTGCCAAAATGTCCGGTAAAGGGGTACTTTTCGTGCAACAAAGTCCGGCCCGAGAATTGTAAAAAAAGGGGTGTATTTGACCTTTCACCCGGAGATTTCTTTAAAAAGGGGGTGTTTTTCTTTTTTCTCTCATCTCTTTGGACTCATGAGAAATTATTCCGAATTTAGGGGGGTACATTGAGCATTTTTCCTGATTTAGGGGGGTCTTCAAGGCAGGAAAAGCTCGCGAAAAGCCCGCCAAAGGGGGGTTCGGAAATGCTGGCAGTCCTCAGGTAGGGGGTGCTTTCAAAAAGAGGGTACGAGCATATGCGTACCCTAAATAACACTGAGTGGGGGGGGGGGGGGGCCGGGCCCTGGATCAGGCAATCTAGTTGGATCTATATATTGTAGTAGTGAATTTCGCGACACAATCCCACATAGGTGTGGTCATGAGAGGGCGTGTGGGGGCTATCAGAAGACTTACCGTACGGACAGGAAAGGCAGCATTCTCCTGGCCGTTTTAGGGGTTCAGCGCAGAATACCGGTCGACACGATTCAATTTGGCATGTTGTAGTGCCGTTAAAACACGTACATGTTTTACAAGGGCCTATGTCCCACACTTCGCTGTGAACAAACGGAAGTCCATGATATATACAAGGGAGCAAAATGGATCCACCGCTGCTGATTGATATAGAAGACGAATCGGATTCCTCTTCTATCGAAAAGAAAAGTCAAGGAATAAATTACAGAAATTATTTTTAGTTCTTCTTTTTCTTCGTCCTTTCGAACAAAAAAAAATCGGTTATAGTGTTCAATTCAAATCAGTTCAATAAGGGTTTAATTTTGACAATTCTATATTCAAAAGCTGAAATTCACATCATTTACAATTTCTCAGTATCATTAATATTCCATATTCCACATATTCCCCAAATTAATCAAGTTTAAGACAAATATTCACAATGATTTGAGAAGATAATGAACAGATTGAGAACATCAAAGTAATGGAAATATGTGGAGGGGTCTACTAAGAAGCTTATAGCTTGTAATATTTCGACCCCTGACTATTAAAAAAACATTGTATGGTTTAATGAAGCAAATTAACAAGAATAATAGAAAAATAAAACAACAAACACCATAATAAACACAGACGATTTATACAGATACATTTACCGTACGAGTAAAGAGAGTCAATAAAATCAGTAATAAATTTGTAAATTACATTTTACATTACAGTTTTTAAATTACATTATAGCATTATCAATTGCATTCAAAAGCATTCTTATCAAAATTATCACATGCAGTGTGTACGTTTGCGTGATGAAATAGATCTGACCATTTTTCATGGATCAAATCATTTTTTGAAATATTCTATATTATGGAGTGTTTCTGTCCTATACATTATTTATTTGTTTGAGTTGTCGGTGACCAAATTATTTCAACATGTAGCAAAGATGGGAAGATGATAAAATATTTCTGAATAAAGTAGGCCACTAATATTAATTTTTTATAAAAACGTGTTTGAAAATATATTATCGTTTAAAGTTTAAGAATGATAATGATTCTCAGGCGTTTGAACACATCACATTAAGATTTTTTTTCAGAAATACCTCATGCGTTCAGAAGCATAAATACAAAATTACATTCACTTGAGAGAACAATGCTTGCGAAATATGTTAACATCTCAATATTTGTTTATTTTGTCAATTCTTGATATAAAATGATACATGTACATGATTAAAATATATAATTTAGATATTTTTTCCAGTAAATAAAACTGGATAAAGATGGACTGAATACTGTTATTTTGAACCAACTATTAAAACAAATATACCTACCAGTGTATGAAAACAGGTGTATGAATATATTCATTTTACGATTGGGGGCTTACGGTAACACCAATTGGAAAAGGCTGTTAAAAATATTCTTTCGTCAATAGAGCCCGCTCATGGGGCATTCAGAGGAATAAAAGAAAGGAAAGGGAAGAGATGGTAGTTGAAATAATTTGTTATAAAACATTTAAAATGGAAATAGAAAAGAAAAGGAAAGGTCGGAAGGAAGGAGCATTTGAGAAGGTTGTAAGCAGATCCCACAAGTTGAAGAATGAAGAGTATTGCGTCTAGTTTTCCGAGAATACTCGCTAACCATGGAAATCTACATAGAATATCTGAATTTCAATTCGCATATGGGTTTCGGTGGTCAAGTTCCTTAAATGTCCCCTTTATGTTTTAAACAAACACATCCTAAATTCTAACACGTACACACGAGAAGGTATTTTAGATTCTATACGTTAAGATGCAGGCTGGATTAAATAATACTGCGTTGAAATAATGAGAGAAATAAATAATTGCATGATTTGCATCAGTACATCAATTTAAAAACAAGCTATCATTTGTAATATCATATTGATACCTCAATTTCATACGCTCGCTGAAAGGTTTGATTAAAGGAAAATCAAATCTAATTGCAAACTACTCTAGAAGAAAGCGACAAAATCAGAGAAGCAGCCTGATGAAAGTTTAAACGAAATTGGAGAAAAAATGAAAAAGTTAAGTATTTTGGAAGCTTTTATATTACTATTAGTATAAGCTCTTCAAATTTGGTGCAACAGTAATTTTTCAAATACACAAAATGAATAAACAAAATATAAAAGATCGTTATTTATTTTTAGAGAACCCGTAGTAGTAATTATGGTATCCGTAATATATTACGAGTAGTGCTTCAAGAGAGAAGGTGATTAGAAGAAAAAATATATATTATAGTTTTGTACACCATAAACGGGAGAGTTATCCGCGACTAAGTCAAAACCCAGTGATCAAATTGCGAATTTTAGATTCGCATATATTGTGTGATTTTCATATTTCAAACAGTAATAACTTTCATTATTGTTGATCCGATTTAAAGGGACTTGGTAACATTGTTAAAATGAGAGATAGTGGTGCTAGGTTAGTGACTTCAATGCTAGATGTACAATTAAAGATAATCTGAAAATTTGAGTGAAAACGGACCATTATTCATGGTACAAATAGGGAAAAACTGATTTGATCAATTCCTTAATTCTCCCAACTATATTATTACAATTTAATTACATTTTAGGTGAATGGAAATCGTCACAAAGCAATAAAATGGCTCTACATTCCACTCCAGACATTCAAGTGTTGACACATTTTTTATAGCCTGTTTTATGTCTTTTTTCATGGAAAAGCGGTTGGGAAAATTCAAAAATGGTTGGGAGAATTTACTGTTAATCACTGTTAGAGGATGTCATACATCGACCTTTAAAAAAAACAAAATTGATATCTTCGTGGTTTGAGAATTTTGTCAGGATTTTTTTGCATGTCAGAGGGTTAGTACAGGAGAAGGAATATAGTAAGTAACATGATATTCAAAACTTTTTTTTTCATTAACCTTTAACAATGTTAGCAAGTCACTTTAAGTCAAACTTCTGCCATTCTGTTTGTCTTATTTCCCGTCATTCATACGATGGTTGATTCGATTGAACGGAATGTCAGCCATTGATGTGCGGGATGTATGCATTTAGAAAGAAAAATGTTGCTTGAGAGTTGGGCATTCATCTAAAACGGAGTGAATAACGCAAAAGCTTTTAATTTACCCGATTGGTCGGTCACAAAGTCGAGAAATCCTTTGTCCAACTATTTCTAGGGTGTCGGTGTTAAATAGCTACTGCAGAATTGTACATTTGTAAACTCTTTTGACTAAAATCTCGCTAATGAGATGGCTGTCAAGGTTTTCTTATATTATTAATATTCCATCGATTCAACATCAAGAGTTTTGGTAATGAAAAATTGATTGTTTTATGTTGTGTTTTTACCTGTTTGCTAAGAAAGCATGTGTATGCTTGTAAGTAAGTCATCGGGACCGACGCCCCTAAGTCCCCTTAAAGCGGGACTGCACTACTTGTAGCTTCATCCACCCTCTATAAAGCAAATAATGCCTAAGCGGTACCCGTTGGTCCCCCATGATCCCCTTTTTCTTATGTTAATTGAGAGCTGATTTGATGAGATAAACACCTGTCAGTGACCATGCATGGAGGTCTAATCCCTCCTGGCCAAACTAGTGCAGAAAGGCTTTAAAGCATCTATACGGGACTTGCTAATGAGCATTCCATACCGTACCAAAGGGCACTTGCTCAGTGACTTGGCTTCGAACCTTAGACCTCCCGGTTACGTGACCACTGCTCTACCACTTAGCCATCACCACTCCACGAGGTTAAGTAATGAAGGTAATATCTGAAGTAGATATCGATGAACGATGAATTAAATAGCACTGTGTTCTAATAACCATGACGAGTATACTAGCTGTATAATATAGTAATGAAAGACTTACCTTGGGAAGAGGCATGATGCA